CCCGAAAGGGCGGCATGCAAATATTTAAAAGGAAAAACAACAACCATGAATAGGATAAAAAGGTAAAGGGACCCCTGACCATTAGGTCCAGTTGTGGCCGACTCTGGGGTTGCGGCACTCAACTCGCTTTATTAGCTCTGGGAGCCGGCGTACAGCTCCCGGGTCATGTGGCCAGCATGACTAAGCCGCTTCTGGCAAACCAGAACAGCGCACGGAAACGCCATTTACCTTCCCGCCTATTTATCTACTTGCACTTTGACGTGCTTTCGAACTGCTAGGTTGGCAGGAGCAGGGACCGATCAACGGGAGCTCACCCCGTCGCGGGGATTCAAACCGCCGACCTTCTGATCGGCAAGTCCTAGGCTCTGTGGTTTAACCCACAGCACCACCCGCGTCCCTTATGAATAGGATGCTCAGGTGCAAAAGAGGGCCGGGGTGGGGTGGGGCTGCTGCCCCTTTAATAGTTGCATAGAAGAGGGAATTTCAGTAGACGGCCACTTTCATGGTGGGCTTCACCTGCTGAGATTTCCCCTCTTCTATGCAATCATTAAAGGTGCAGGATTCTCCCTCGGTCCCCTTCTGCACCTGCCCACTCTAAACATGCAGGATTGATGAAAGGTGAAAGCTGAGTGCTCCTCTTACCACATTTTAAACAGTCTGGCTAGCCCATCCCTAATCTGCACCAATTTACATTAAATGAATTTGGAACTGATGTACAGGAGGGTCTGGTTACAGAAGAGGAAAGCTCTTATTTCTTGTAAACAGCAGTGCTGCATGCAAATTACGTTGGCTGCTGCACCTTCACCAGTAGGCAGGAATGCAAGTGGTGGAGACAAATGAATTTATTTATATTTCAAAGGGCTGCTGTCTCGCCTTCCTAGTTAGTCGGAGAAGCTTACGACAATTGAAGCATCCCTCTCCGTAATCAAACAATGCCTAGTCTTTTCCCAACTGCTGCATTGCCACACTGTGTTCTTGCCGCTCCTGTGGCTGTTTAGCTTTGTAGTTTTAATTTACAGTGCTAATTAATTGAATATTGTTTTTAAATGGTGAGATTTTATGTCACACTTCTCCCCCCCCCATCAGGAGCACTCACTGGAGGGGCGGGCTGTAAGGATGTATGAATAAACAAATAAACAAACAAGATTATATAGAAGCAGGAGACAATGAGCCTGAAATAAGCTGTGCCGTCTCACATCTCATCTGCCTGGCGCAACAAAAGCTTGCCAGAACAAACAGTTTTGCACAGAGTTCCAATGATGACCAAAAATCCACATGAGAACCTGCTGGATGAGACCAAAAGCCCATCTCTGAGCTCTCAACCAGACGCCTGCAGGAAAGAAGCAAGATAGGAGTATTATCACAGAAACACAGACTTGTAGAGTTGGAGGGGATTCCATAGGGTCATCTAGTCCAACCCCTGAAATGTCTTGCCAGAGTTGGTGCATGCTCTGGTTAGCTCCCGCTTGGACAATTGCAATGCACTCTATGTGGGGCTACCTCTGAAGGTGATCCGGAAACTACAATTAATCCAGAATGCGGCAGCTAGACTGGTGACTGGGAGAGGCCGCCGAGAGCACATAACACCGGTCTTGAAAGACCTATGTTGGCTCCCAGTACGTTTCCGAGCAAAATTCAAGGTGTTAGTGCTGACCTTTAAAGCCTTAAACAGCCTCAATCCCATAGACCTAAAGCAGTGTCTCCACCCCCATTGTTCAGCCCAGACACTGAGGTCCAGCTCTGAGGTCCTTCTGGCAGTTACCTCCCTGCGAGAAGTGAGGTTACAGGGAACCAGGCAGAGGGCCTTCTCGGTGGTGGTGCCTGCCCTGTGGAACACCCTTCCATCAGATGTCAGGGAAATAAACAACCACCTGACTTTTAGAAGCCATCTGAAGGCAGCCCTGTTTAGGGAAGTTTTTAATGTCTGATGTTTTATCATATTTTTTATATTCTGCTGGAAGCCGCCCAGAGTGGCTGGGGAAACCCAGCCAGATGGGCAGGGTATAAATAATAAATTATTATTATTATTATTATTATTATTATTATTATTCAGGAATTGCAGTTAAGGAAGCCCTGACAGATGGCCATCCAACCTCTGCTTTAAAACAGCACCTTCCGAGGGAATCCCTATCGCTGTCAAACTGCTTTTCCTGCCAGAAAGCTCTTCCTGATATTAAGTCGGAATTGACTTTCTTGCCATTTGAATCCATTGGTTCAGGTTGCTCGATCTTATGATTTCTAAATATTATTATCTTTATTTGTCACTTAACACAAAAAAGTCTCAAATTGGCTTCTGGTCTCTGAGAAAAAAACCATATAATACCAAATTATACATCAAAAGATTTAAAATAGGCAACCCCAACCTACGGCCCTCCAGATGTTTTGGCCTACAACTCCCATGATCCCTCGCTAACAGGACCAGTGGTCAGGGATGATGGGAATTGTAGTCCAAAACATCTGGAGGGCCGCAGGTTGGGGGTGCCTGATTTATAAGCATCATTTAATGAAGAGAGATTATCCTGAAATCCCAGAAAACTGACACATCCTACACCAGCCAGCTAAAAGATGGACACCAGCTGAGAGCCAAATGCCTGGCTAGATTAAAAACTCCTACACCAGGCACCTAAAGGTTGGTAGCGATGGAACCAGGAGTATCTCTTTGGTGAACCACTACTGAGATAGGTTTTTATTTACACATATATACAACCTGAGCATAGGATGGAGCGGCTTGCGGCATGAACACCCCAGTGTATGTCGGTTCTCTATTAGCCAGAGCTTTGGATCCAGTACAGAGCAAGCATGTCTCTGTATCTCCACCTTCCAGCCTGCTTTCTGCTTGTTCACACACTACTCTGGCTGTCATTCTCCTACATAGCAGCTAGGGAAGGCAGCGGAAACCACACTCATTTGGCAGAGAGAAACTTCTTTGGATATGCTAAATCATGGTAGTTAACTAGTCAGGCAAAGGGACTGGTTTGGCATGCTTGCTCTTATACATCCTGTCCTCACAGATACAGGACCCAAAGAATTGGAAGGGACACAGGGTATTATAAACCTCCCCCCACAAACTCAAAACAGTACAGTGGATGCTGGGGTTGCAAACGTGATCCGTACGGGAGGCACGTTCGCAACCCGCCGTGTCTGTGCACGCGCGGGTTGCAATTCGGTGCTTATGTACAAAGCGCAGTTTAGAACTTCACATGCGCAACCGCCGAAACCCAGAAGTAACCCGTTCCAGTACTTCCGGGTTTCGGCACATCCGCAAGCAGAAAAAAACGCAACCTGAAGCGTCTGTAACCCGAGGTATGGCAGTATTGTGTTCAGGTAAAGGTAAAGGTAAAGGTACCCCTGCCCGTACGGGCCAGTCTTGCCAGACTCTAGGGTTGTGCGCTCATCTCACTCTAGAGGCCGGGAGCCAGCGCTGTCCGCAGACACTTCCGGGTCACGTGGCCAGCTTGACAAGTTGCATCTGGCAAGCCAGCGCAGCACACAGAATGCCGTTTACCTTCCCACTGGTAAGCGGTCCCTATTTATCTACTTGCACCCGGGGGTGCTTTCGAACTGCTAGGTGGGCAGGTGCTGGGACCGAACGACGGGAGTGCACCCCGCCGCGGGGATTCGAACCGCCGACCATGCGATCGGCAAGTCCTAGGCGCTGAGGTTTTACCCACAGCGCCACCCAGAACATGCTACAAAACACATCTGCAACAAAACATCAAAGCCCTTACGAGCCATTTGCCTTTAAAGGGTCTTGTGTGTGTTTTCTAAGCAAGGGCTGTGTCTGATGCCTGCCTGCGGAAGGATGGTGATGGTGGTAATAATAATAATAATAATAATAATAATAATAATAATAATTTTATTATTTATACCCCACCCATCTGGCTGGGCTTACCCAGCCACTCTGGGTGGCGTACACCATATATAAAACAGTAAAAAAAAAATCAGGGCTATCTTAAGCATATGTGGCACTGGGGTGCAAAGATCCGCCTGGCACCCCCCCCCCAGGCTGCCCAGTCCCAGGTGCGTAGGAGGGTGGAGCCAGCCAGCCGCCTCAGCATCTCACTAGCTCAGTAACCCCCCAAACTCGCGGCGCAGAGCCACCCATAGCAGAAGAGCCTGCCATGGCGCTCCGGCCGACGGGCGGGCTCTTCCCCGGACTCAAATCTCAGGCCCCAGACTCTCGGCCTGGCGCCCCTGAGAGCCCGGCGCCTGGGTGCCCCACACCCCTAGTGCCTATGGGTAAGACGGCCCTGAAAACAATGGCAGATCAGCTGCTTGGCAGACAGAATGTCCTGGGTTTGATCTTCAGCGTTGCCTGCTAGATGGATTTTCTGCCAAAGAGTTGCAAAAGCCCCCCAATCTGAGAGCTAAAGTGGACTATCAGCGATGCCCTCCTGAGGGTTTTTGAGAAGGTAAATGCAGCCACGTGGGGGGTGAAATTTGGATGCGAGCTGCAGCGCTGCAACAAGGGGAGTTTAACCCCCTCACTCGCCATTTCCTAAATTAAAATCCCCTGCGATGCAAGCTATTGTTGCTCAGCAGGAGAAAATAGACTGGTACGAATAATTATGTAGTGTTGCCATATTTCACAAAGTGAAATTCCTGACACCCGCAAAGAGCTGTGGAGCTTTATTTGTTGGGCTTTTAAAAGAAACCCACCAGAATTGTTAAGCTTTTTTTGGGAACAAGCCCAACCCCAAACTAGTGATTTCCAGTTTTTCCAGCTTCTTCCATTGGGTTGCCATACTTCTGGGTTTCCCCTGACATTTGGCCAGTTCAGCAAAATTCACCTATCCTGGAAGCCAGGATAGGTGAGGAATTCTCCTGACGTATGGCAAGCCTAAATTATGCCTTTCCCCTGTGGGGCAAATGACAGCTGAAAAGGGCCCAGGAGACCATTTGATGAAGCAGAATGTTGGAAGACCCAGGTCACATGGCACATAATTAAACTATGGGATTCATTCCCCCAGGGGTGGCAATGGCCACCAACTTGGAGTATGCTTCCAGTAGCACCTTAGAGACCAACTACATTTGTTATTGGTATGAGCTTTCGTGTGCATGCACACTTCTTCAGATACGAAAGCTCATACCAATAACAAACTTAGTTGGTCTGTAAGGTGCTACTGGAAGGAATTTTTTAAATTATTTTGTTTTGACTACGGCAGACCAACACGGCTACCTACCTGTAACTGGGGCAACCCAGTAAGATGTGTGGGATATAAATAATAAAACTATCATTATGGAATGGGGCGTCCCTATTTTCATCGGATAAATGTTGGAGGGTATGGAATAGTCCTCTCCTCCATAAATTTCTCGAATCTTCTTTTAAAGCCAGCCAATTTGTTGGCCATCACTGGCTCCTGTGGGAAGGAGTTCCACAGTTTAACTCAGCACTGCGTGAAGAAGGACTATCTTTTATCTGTCTTGAATCTTCCAATGCTCAAGGAGGATGTGCCGCAGGACCAATGAGGAGATTTGGCTTGGTAAAAGTTCAAAGGGCTGGTCAGAGAATCCCAGGGGCCTCTCTTCACCTGCCACCACCTATCCCAAATTCCCTACACCTGGGTTAGATACCCAGCCATTAGCGGTTATCATAGGCTACGCAAAGAGGCACAATTCAAATGATGCTCCGGTCAGCTTATGCGAGCACCAAAACCCTGTTTAGCATCTGTTCATGGGGCGATAAGTGGTGATTTTATAAAGCAACTGCCGTCAGAAATGCTTTCTGATTATTAGAACGGACATTGCCAACTGACCAGGGAAAAAAATGGCCAGGGCTGCTCTTGTGCCTTTGAGAAATGCAACACTGTAATGAATAATCGGATTATCACCCTGCGCTTTGCATGAAGCAAGCTCTGAAAAGTGTCCAGAAACGATTGGCCAGATTGTTAACTGGTGGGCACCATCTGGAGCACATAAAACCAATTTTCTTCCACCTTCTGAGGCCGCCTGTTTCTTCCCAGGCTGACTTCAGAGTGCTGGTATTGATCTTTAAAGCCCTCTAATGTTCCTCCATGACCAGAATTTTGAAAGCACCACCTTCTCTTACGTAAAGAAACCTGAACATACTCAATGTAATGTGATAAATTGAGGTGGGGGACATTTAAATCATAGGACATCCTCCCTAGAGAAGCCTGCTCCCCCCTATTCCTCACACTGCCCCAAATCCTTGCTTTTTGGCAAGCAGCAAAAATGCCTTTTGCATGATCTGGCATTATTTTTTAGTTATTTCATAAAATTTGTACACTTGGCCACAATACCTCAAGGACCATATCTCTCCAAATGAACTGGCCTGGACCCTGTGATAATCATCTGAGGCTCTTCTTCATGTGCCTCCTTCATGAGAGGTTCATAGAGTGGCAACATGAGAACGGGGCCTTTTCTATGGTGGCTCCCTGTTTGTGGAATGTTCTCCCCAGGGAGGCTCACCCGGGGCCTTCCTTACATATCTTTAGGCACCAGACAAAAAACATTTCTCTTCTCCCAGGTCTTAAACAATTCATGACCTTTTAAACTTTTAATTTTTATGGCCTTTAAAATAGTTTTGCTTGTTATTATGGCACACATTTTGTGTTTTTATATTATATATATATATATATATATATATATATATATATATATATATATCAGATTTATATTCAGATGAAGGGTAGCGTAGAATTTTTTAATTATAATAAATAAATAATGGGGGCAGGACCCTCAAAGAGGCTTTCAAAAAGGATAAAACAATAAAATCATCACTAAAAAATCTACAACCATAATTTAAAACATACCAAAGGTTGAAACCACACCAAAACAAATTAAAACTCACACAAATTCTCTAAATATCTGGGTAAAGGTAAAGGTAAAGGACCCCCAACAGTTAAGTCCAGTCGCAGACGACTCTGGGATTGCAGTGCTCATCTCGCTTTACAGGCCAAGAGAGCCGGCGTCTGCTCTGCAGCTTTTCCGGGTCATGTGGCCAGCATGACTAAGCCGCTTCTGGTGAAACCAGAGCAGCACACGGAAACGCTGTTTACCTTCCCGCTGGAGCGGTACCTATTGATCTACTTGCACTTTGATGTGCTTTCGAACTGCAAGGTTAGCAGGAGCTGGGACCGAGCAGCGGGAGCTCACCCCGTCGCAGGGATTCGAACCACCGACCTTCTGATGGGCAAGCCCAAGAGGCTCGGTGGTTTAGACCACAGCGCCACCTGCGCTGCTCATTTAAAGCAGGGTGGGGAACTTTTTCCAGCCAGAAGCGGCGCGCAGCTGAACTCTGGAACTCCCTCCTGCAGTGATGGCCCCGGGGGCAGGGGATGGGGGGGGGACAGATCACCCCTGGTGTCACTGCTGAGGGGGTGACAAAATGCCGGGCAGCACTCACTGAAGGGCCTGCGGCGCGCCCGAGCCATGCTTCTCTACTGGGAGTGACGCGGTGGCTTGGCTGCCCACGGGCTCCGCCGCTGGATGGCCCCCAACTTGAGTGATTTTAATAATAATAATAATAATAATAAATTTTATTTATACCCCGCCCTCCCCCACAAGAGCTGGGGGCTCAGGGCGACTAACATAATTAAAATTACAGTAAAAAACATAATAAGGGAGGGGGGAAAACAACAATTTAAAATACAGGTCAAAATGCAATTTAAAATGCAGCCTCATTTTAAAAGTAGCCCATAGATCAAAACCATAAGGGGAGGGAAACATAAGGGTCAGACTGAGTCCAAACCAAAGGCCAGGCGGAACAGCTCTGTCAAGTCCCGCAGGGCCCTAGTCTCTTGTGACAGAGCGTTCCACGAAGTCGGGGCCAGTACTGAAAAGGCCCTGTCCTTGGACTGGACAAATTCATGGACTTACGAGTTATCCATGGCCGCTAATCCTGATGAGCATATTCTACTTCGCAGCTGGAGGCAGCAGTGCTTCTGAATACGAGTTGCTGGAAACTACAGGAGGGGAGAGGGGTGGGGTAAGATTGTAAAGTCTCCCAAAGAATTGAGTCACCTTGTGTACTCCTTGGGAACCAGAAAGTCCCCACTGCCTTTTGATTCTGTTTCCTGGACTCACGCATGAGGGGAATTCCTCTCGGCCCTTGTCACAGCAGGAAAGGTGGGCACATCCTGCTCAGTGCTCAGTTGGCTGTTCTGTCCTGACCCATACATGGCAGGGGGGAAAAGACACAATAGAGGGGAATCCCATAGCCGTCAGCAGAAAAGCTGGCAAGGGGGAAGAGGAGGTTCTGCAACCTTTGCAAATTGGGCTTCTCAGCTGATTCCTTCTCCTTTTGAAATTTCACCAGGGAACTGCGACTCCAGAGCATTTCCACGAAATCGCCAAGAGCTTTCCCCCAGCAATAATAATAATAATAATAATAATAATAATAATAATAATAATAATTTATTATTTGTACCCTGCCCATCTGGCTGGGTTTCCCCAGCCACTCCAACAAAGATTAAAAATATATTAAAATGGGCTGCCTACACCATACAGCACATTCCTACACGACTACTCAGAAGGAAGGTCACACGCACACCATACATTTAAAGCCCACGGCTTCCCCCAGAGAATGCTGGGAACTGTAGTTTGTGTTGTGGGTGCTGGGTCTGTAAGGGGTAAACTATAGTTCCCAGGATTTTTTGGGAGTGGGAGCCATGCATATCCTTCAACGTTTCTCTGATGAAAATAGGATTGGCCTATTCAACGACAGCAACAATTTTACTATTCATACTCCACCCATCTGACAGGGCTACCTCAGCTACTCTGGGCAGCTTCCAACATATATAAAAAAACATAATAAAACATTATGCATTAAAAAAAACTTCCCTATTCAGATGGCTTGGGAGTCGCAAAACTCCATACCCTAACACAGAAGTACTGTTTTTGGGGGACAGGAGGCGGGCAGGTGTGGAGGACTCCTTGGTCCTGAATGGGGTAACTGTGCCCCTGAAGGACCAGGTGCGCAGCCTGGGAGTCATTTTGAACTCACAGCTGTCCATGGAGGCACAGGTCAATTCTGTGTCCAGGGCAGCTGTTTATCAGCTCCATCTGGTACGCAGGATGAGACCCTACCTGCCCAAAGACTGTCTTGCCAGAGTGGTGCATGCTCTAGTTATCTCCCCCTTGGACTACTGCAATGCGCTCTATGTGGGGCTACCTTTGAAGGTGACCCGGAAACTACAACTAATCCAGAATGTGGCAGCTAGACTGGTGACTGGGAGTGGCCGCCAAGACCACATAACACCGGTCTTGAAAGACCAACATTCTGAACTTTCAGTAACCCGCGGTAGGACAATTAAGTTTTCCTAGTATATCTTTAACTAAGAGAACAATCGCCCTCTTAGTGTCGAAGGCAGGCCACTGCCGAGTCAATGAACAGTGGAGGGGCGAGGCTGGTGAAATAATCCCCAGATAGAATAGGTGTTTTTATGGATGTGTCCCAGTGCTTTCACCATAAAGAAGGCTCATGTTTCACTCCATGCTATAAAAAAGTTTCACTTGCTGGTGTCTGTAGTTCTCAAAGCTATGTTAAAGAGACAGGAGCAAATCCAAGTCCCTCTGGGTGTTGTTGAACTCCAGTTCCCATAAGCCACAGTGGTATGGCCAGCAGCGAAGGATTATGGGAGCAAGCATTTAATGCGCCACAGGCTCTCCATTCCAATTACTGTCTGCAAGTTTCACTCGTTTCACTGGTGCCCCCTACTGGTGGCCTCCTTAACCAGTCTCGATAGGTGGCACCAGCCTCCACTGTTATCCAGACATCATGGAATCATAGAACTGGAGGGTTGGGAGGGACCCATGGGTCATCTAGGCCAACCCCCTACAATGCAGGAATCTCAGATAAATCATTCCTGAAAGAGGGCCATCCATCTTCACCCATTTCTTGTCTCTCGCTATGCATTCTTCTCCCTCCGGCCCTGCTTACCCCTGGAACATGGTTCTTGGGAGGTTGTCCATGCAAAAATGCAACCCTACTCGAATCCCAACAAATGATCCCACCCCGCCCTTTGCACTCCCTGCAGAATTAGCTGGTTCCCAGATGGTTGGCATCTCCCAGCTCAAGTGCCAAAACGAAGATTGAGAACAATGCCGCTGGGAAGAACTCAGCTCAGAGTGAAACTGCCAAGGCTGCATACAGAGAAGCGGAGGAAAGA